AGATATCCGCACTGAACGAAAAAAGACCCTTTTGTCTTCAACCATTGATATCCCAACAACCAGTGACCGTACAGAAAATAGAAGAGCAGTTTCGAAAACTGGAATAAATTTCCTAAAAATTCCTTCAAGATATTTGAAGAAAGTAATTTTATTTCATTCACAATTTTAATCTGAAAAAGTGAAAATAAAAACTGACTTCTTCCCTAGTTTTGTTAAACTCAATATTTGCTAAGATGTATAGCAAATACTGATAGGAAAGCTAATGTTTTCAGGATTTTTTTCATTTCGATGTACCCCCAATAACTCTGTAAATTTACAGATCGAACCATCGAGCGGTTTTTCCAGACCGATTATTCAGTTTCAGTTTCAAACTTAAAGGAGCAAGATTTTAAACGAGTTTAAAAATTAAATTTTTTTAATTTTATCATTTGCATGCTAAGAAACATGTAGCGAAAAAATAAAAAAAAACGGAACAAAAGATAAAAAATAAAAATTGCAAAAAATTGTCAATTAAGAATTTGCAACATCGTTCATTTAAAAAAACCAGTATTTAAATACATTCCCTATAAGTACCATAGGAAATATATTTGACTCAAATGGAGTTCTCATTGTAGTTTTGTTATATTTTATTTCATGAATGGCAATTTGAGAGGCACATTATAAAATGTAGGTTCAAATAAATATGCCTATTTGTCAATAGTGTCAGTCCAATCCATTGGCATATGGGCGAGTTTACACAAGTGTCGCAATCACAAGATACCAATAACGACACATACTAGGGTGACGCATGTAGATATTTAAATATCAAGCATACAGCTTACACATACAGTACACATTTATGACCTAGGTAAGTAACCGTAGCCACTGAATTTTAGGTGGGAATAAAGTCTCGTGAAATAAAATAAATGAAAGACTTTGTTCCATATTTATCGCAAAAGTCGGCTAAGGGAGTGGGGTACGCATTTAATCTATTAAATTTAAATCTTATTATATAGACAAATGGTTAATAATAATATTATTATCCAGATCGGAATAGTGTGGCGTAGACGACTTAAGAAAATCTTTCATCTCGTGCCAGGTTGGGGTCTTAGTTTATTAAAATATGGTAATAGAGCATAGCGTATTTTAATTCATGAGTAAAAAAGTTAAAGTTACAGCCTATATACGTCCCACTGTTGGACACAGGCCTCCCTTAATTTCTGAGAGGGTTTTAGGGCAAGGAAGTGTCCGCCCGCCACGCTGCCCCAATGCGTGTTGGCGAACTTCACATGTCTTCCGAAATATTTTTTTCTTATTTTTCAGACATGCAGGTTTCCTCACGATGTTTTCTTAACCGCCGAGCACGTGGTAAATCAGCATTTAAAATTGCAATTTACATTCATGCCGACGGGGATCGAAATCGGTTTACTCGTGTATTGTGAAATTCATAGAAAACTATAATACACAACAGAATGGCTGTCAACCTTATTTTGTACGATGATAGGCATCGCCGAGAGCACACATACAAGCAATTACGTAGTAGTAGTCACTACTACCAACGCGATTCGCTGTGTTGACAGATAGATTTTAATAAGTTTTTATTTGTAAATAGCGTGCAATTTGGAATTTTCTAAATAATTTGCATGCGAAATTTGGAAACGATTGTAACGTCAAAACACATCTCGTGTTGACATTTATACGTGTGAATTGACATGTTAGTGACATTTTAGTGGCTACAGGGGCTCCGCCCACTCCCTCGTTCTATTGTGTATGTAATTATAGTATTCTATGGTGGCGCTCACCATCTGAGCTACCACGGCTCTTCCATCCATTATCCATGAATTAGAAGATAAAACAGGAAATAAAACAATTTTCCTTGTGTTACTACAAACCATTATGGCCCTATATTGCATCGCCAATAAAATAAATCATTTCAAAATGTTAATTATATGATTTAATTATAATACCAGGTAATATGTAAATTAAAAGTAATGCAATATAAACACGAATACACAACTATTTATGATAACCGTTAGATACATAAAATAAAAATTTATAAACTCGTATACCAGTACTTTAGCTCCCAAATATGTTTTACCTGGTGTGCAACTAATGCGACATCTATAAAAGGTAAAACTTGAAAAAACGTTTTTTAGTAAATTGTGATTTTAGGTTAGACAAAAATGTAACATTCAAATGGTTCGCAAGTTTCATGAATGTGGATCGTTATTCACATGTGTTCACGTAGACCTTCACGTATCCGTAACAAATTTTATGGCACAATCACACAATGCTGTCAAGGTCCACAAGGTTTTATGAGACATGTGGTTCATTAATGCAACATTATTAAATACAAAAAGTAATTACGCTAAGCCGTAGATTTAATAAACTTTGTTTGCGTAATACAAACGACCATCGTTACGGATATTTATTTATTTCTGTAATGAATAAGAACTAGCAGAAAAATATAATAAGAAACTAGCTTGCCAGGCAGACGTTGTTCTGCCCTTTTCGACAACCCTTTGCCATGTCCTATTAAAAATCCTTAAATTCCCAAAAAAAAACTTGTGGTCACTCATGGGCAAAAAAACTACCCTATCTCTCAAGTTGGACCAAACTGCACACGGTGTGCAAGTTTGATTAAAATCGGTTAAGTAGTTTAGGAGTCCATCGCGGACAAACAACGTGACACGTAATTTATATATATTAAGATTACAAGGACTCCTAAGACTAGAGTAGATTTTTAGTATGACTGGTAAAAAAGGTAAAAAACGAAGATTTTTTGACAATAAGCGTGAAATTAAAAATATAAGTGTATAAAATAGATTGCAGATTTTTTGATACAATTTTTTAAAAGACGGAAAATATTAGCACTTACTTAATATTTTATAAATATTGAATAAAACTATATTTACGGATTTTATCGCGTTTAATTACTACTTTAACTTATTTTTATAAATTCCCGACGTTTCGGGTGCTTTACAGCACATGGTCACGGGGGGGGGGGGATTGACTGAGATATTTGACGTCCCAATGTCGTAGTTAACCCGGCTACCTTCAGTTTTTTAATATTAATGTTCACGTAAATTTAAGAAATAATTATTTTTTAAATATTTAAATAAGAGTGACAAATAAGCCAACAGTCAATTTTGGTACAGCAGCCCGTGGACGTGAACCTCCAAACAAAGAGCCATAGATTCGTAGTAACTAGTAAAGACTAACATGGAATGCCCGAGCACGAAAGTCCGTTAGTCTTGTCTACGGTAGATATGGGTATTATCGGTAAGGAAGGAGGGATCTAAGAGAGTAATATACACTCCACCGCAATGTAATTTGCAGATTTTTACTGACAGGCATACTACTCGGCAACCGTGTTCTGAACTAAATAACTTTAGCTATTATCCTTCCTTTGAGATATGCCATTAAACCTGTGTGCGTGATAACCGCGTAGTCTCTCATGTCATGTTCGCAAATAATTACGTTCACCGTTTAGCAAATAGACCGTTGACAAAGTAGTTGTTGACTGTGCTACGATCTAGGCTCAAATACCACTTGTTAATACGGTGCTAGCGGAACCGTGAGGAGTGTCGAAGCAGCTGTCACCAATTTAGCCTATATAATGGTAGTAAGCTACCATATAATAACTTCGAATTTAAGGCAATGTAAAATAATTCTTATGGTGTAGGTATATATTAATTTTAGCCTAATTCGATGTTCTAACTCGAAATTATATTTTTTTTTAAAGTGCTGGATGACAAATTAAGAACAACATGTTAAGCTCACTATCTCACTATTATATACTCGTATATACAGCGCGATATGACAGGAGACATTTGCAAAGCAGTGGAACTAAAATAGGCTGTATCTTTACATTTACTTTTGTATTTGTATAATGCATAGTGATAATTAAATTTAAAAAAAAAATAAAATTCCGACTTTAAAGATCTAAAAAATAATTTAAAAAATTTGTTGGTGTGATAAATAATTTTTTGCACATAATATGATGTCGGGCAGCTAGCTACTGCCAGAGCCGAGAGCCGTGGTAGCTCAGATGGTTAACGCTCGCTGTAAATGTAACAGAACGCGAGAAACCCGGGTTCGATCCCCGCCGGCACCAATGAAATTGTTAATTGCAATTTTAAGTGCTGATTTACCACGTGCTAGGCGGTGAAGGAAAACATCGTGAGGAAACCTGTATGTCTGAGGAATAAGAGAAAAAAATATTTCGAAGATATGTGAAGTTCGCCAACACGCATTGGGGCAGCGCGGCGGACACTTCCTTGCCCCTAAAACTCTCTCAGAAATGAGGGGAGACCTGTGCCCAGAAGTGGGACGTATATAGGCTGTAACTTTAACTTTTTTACTCATGAATTAAAATACGCTATACTCTATTACCATATTTTAATAAACTAAGACCCCAACCTGGCACGAGATGAAAGATTTTCTTAAGTCGTCTACGCCGCACTATTGCCATAGCAATAGTGCGGCAATGATGTTTGAAAAAGAGGGTGCCTATAACATCCTATAGGCACCCTCTTTTTCAAACATCATTGTAATCAGAAAATGTAGAAAAGAATTATAAGAAAACCTTACATTTACGTGTAGCGACAGTGTTATAATATCCACTATTCTGTCATAATATTCACAGGTATACAATAATTTGCGTGTTCGCGTATGTTTAACCCTAGAACCCTACCCAGAGTGCTGTGTCACCCTGTGGTAACTTTGATAGATAATACTTTTTTAACTAATGGCAACACGGCTTCGTTATTTTTTCTAATCTCCTGTCAAATCATGTTTACCATTTTGTACAAGTTGAAAATTGACTGTCATACCGGTAAGTATTGTAAATAATTAATGCAGGGTGCTGTAGCACCCATGGGTAGTAAAATACGCAAATATCTCAAATAAATCAGTCTCTTATTTATAGCTATAAATATTGTAATATCTATGTTCCTGTGTTTAGAAGTACATTTCTTTTATAGGTTATAAGTATTGTGAAATAAGGTGGCGGTTTCTAGAAGAGAGTTGACGAATGAGAGCATTGAGCGGTTTCTCGAGTATGATTCCGATGAGGATGAGATCGTTGGAGGCGCGGAGTCAGACAGCGAACCTGATGAAATCACTGACGACTTTCACCACGATGAATCTTCGTCAGATTCAGAAGATAATCAGACTTTAGCCAGCTTACAAGCGAGGACGAGTAATCTTCTAAAAGTGTTCGAAGTGCCCACAAGATTATATGGTGCAAATAGATACAAGTGGAGTGGCGAAACTCCGCAATTCTCGGGGCGTACTCCAAGACGAAATATAATATTGCACCCTCCCGGTAATAAAGGACCTGCTAAACAAATTTCTACATGTTTAGAGGCTTGGTCTTTATTTTTTGATGAAGATGTACTAGGACGTATCGTGTCTTTTACTAATGCTGAAATCACATTACAACGTCAAAATTATAACAGCGATAGACAGAATTACGATTTAGACGAAGGTCCTGGTCTAACATACCATCTTGCACGCGGGATACTTCAATTTCTGAAATAAAAGCCCTGATAGGTTTATATTATTTGTCTGGAGTTTTGAAGACGAATGCTGTCACAGTAAAAGAGCTATTCGACAATGACACTGGAATACCATATTTCAGAGCTACTATGTCGGGGTCTCGATTTGAGTTCCTTACGAAGTGTTTACGTTTCGATGATAAAAATACATGAGAAGATCGTCGGAGAGCAGATCGGTTGGCACCGCCAAGGGAATTATTTGATAATATAGTAAAAAAAAGTTTTGATTATTACACGCCCCACTGATTGTTGCACGATGGATGAACAACTGCTTGGATTTAGGGGCCGTTGTCCCGAATGTATATTCCCAACAAACTCGATAAGTATGGTATAAAAATAGTACTATTGTGTGATTCAAAAACATTTTACATGATAAACGCAGAAGTATACTTAAAGGCAAAGAAAGTACTCCAAGGACACAATCCGTCGCAGATTACTATCTCCAGTCTTTGAAATTTCCAATACACGGCACCAATAGAAACCTGACTTGTGACAATTGGTTTACTTCGATTCCATCAGCTAGTGCATTACTTGAAAAGAATATAACATTAGTTGGAACTCTAGACAAAATAAAAAGAGATACCTGCAGAAATAAAAGACCAACGTTCTTTTGTGAAAAATTCCGCCAAGTTTGCTTACAGTGGACCTCTTACATTACTAGCCTACTGTCCACCTAAAGGTAGCCAGAAGAAGGTTGTTAATTTACTGTCAACAATGCACATTCTTCCCGATAAAGATAAAACTGTTTTTTTGCCCGAAATGATGGATTTTTATAACAAAACAAAAGAAGGAGTTGATACATTTGACCAACTGTTACATTTCTATTCAGTGTCACGTAAGACTCGTCGCTGGCCTTTATGCATGTTTTACGGGTTCTTGAATACAGTCGGTATCAACTCTATGATATTGCTGAAGTTGAGTTCTTCAATTAATAAGGAAAATATACCCAATAGACGGACATATCTGAAAACTTTATCCTTACAGCTTATAACACCTTATTTAAAAGAAAGAAAAATTGGCCTACTTTGAGTCACAATATCCGCCAAATGATTAACGCCATACTCAAAACGCCAAATGATCCTGATAGACCAGCTCCTAGTGTCGTTAAACAAGGACGTTGTAGATTCTGCCCCTATTCAAAAGACAGAAAAAGTAAGACCTTTTGCAATAAGTGTAAAACGCCTATCTATGGAGAACATCAGATAAAAGTTTGTTTTAAATGTGTTTAAACCGTTTAGTTTTACTATATGCGTTTTAAGTTGATTCCTAAAAGAACATATAAATAAGTTTATATACAAAAAAACTGCAATTTCATTATAATTCTTGAAAATATGTCTCATTACATAACAGGGTGCTCGGTCACCCTGGGTAGGAAAAGTCACTGTAAAATATGGGTAGGGTTCTAGGGTTAAAAACATACACCGCTACCCTATAAAGTATAAAGTGTATTATAATACAACTAGGTAGGATGATACTTGACATTTTCGTTGGGCAGGCTCAAGGTACTAAAACATTACAATAAATTAAATATTTATACGAAGATCGTTTTAATAGTTATATCGGGTACAAAGTTAAGATATCGGACGCGACGTTTTTTGAAAAGGGTTTGTGATAAAAAACATTTAAAAATCAAGAAATATTTAGATAGTATTAAAATTAAGATCAACCATCTGTGCCTACCGATAGGACATTTAAAATTCATTTTAGTAATGTTAAAAAACAACATATATTATACTCCCCCCCTTGATCATGGGTGCTGTAAAGCGCTCGAAACGTCGGGTATTTATAGTTAAATATACGCGATAAAATCCGTAAAAACTAGTATTATATCAATATATTATAAACTTTTCCAAAAAGCCTTCTATTTGGCAATCGTGAGTCGTAACACACCTCTCTCTTCTATTCTATGCATGATTTTAACCGACCGATTTTTTAGGGTTCCGTAGTCAACTAGGAACCCTTATAGTTTCGCCATGTCTGTCTGTGCGTCTGTCCGTCCTCGCTTAATCTCTGTGACCGTTAGCACTAGAAAGCTGAAATTTGGTACCAATATGTGTATCAATCACGCCGACAAAGTGGTAAAATAAAAATTGGAAAAAATGTTTTATTAGGGTAGCCCCCTATATGTAAAGTGGGAAGTGATTTTTTTTTAATTTCAACCCTAACGTGTGATATATTGATGAAAAGGTATTTAAAAATGAATAGGGGTTTACTCAAATCATTTTTTGATAATGTCAATAATTTCGGAAATAATCGCTCCAAAAGTAAAAAACAATGTGTCCCCCCCCCCTCTAACTTTTGAACCATAAGTTTAGAAAATATGAAAAAAATCTGAAAGGTAGAACTTTGTAAAGACTTTCTAGGAAAATCATTTTGAACTTGGATGGAAACAACAGTACCCACTACCGGGAGCCGTTGCAGGAGCGCGGCCAACATAATGGATACCCACCTTTAAACTCATAAGTGGGAACACTTATTGTGACGGACGGGAAACTACGGAACCCTACACTGAGCGTGGCCCGACACGCTCTTGGCCGGTTTTATTATTAACATGGGATAAAAACTTAAGAATGAATACCCCTTATTCATAACGATTAAAAAAGTTTGAGAACTGTCTACATTCCGTCTTTACGTATGTGTTAACTTATCAGAGCAGCAAAACAAATACCAATTGAGAACAATTAAACGGACAATGATTTGTTTTCATTTTTTAGCGATTATAAAGAAGTGATGACGCCACGTTGCAATTAATTTATTTTGTTAATAAACAAAACTAAGACGTGTAATTTTTAAAATACCTACAAGTTTAATTATTGAAATGAGAAAAGTAAAGCAGTGGAATAGTTTGTCGGCACTTCCATCATATTGCAAATGTGGATGTCTTCACGGCAAGCTTGAATAGGTTTTTGCTAATAATGTAAGATTCTTTGATCGTCTTTGAAACCGAACGACCGAGCGACCGACCTATTCGAGTTACAACCCTTAAGCATCTTTGCTACATCAACATTTACCTTTAGGTGGTTACGAGACAGCAAAAAAAATAGACAACAAGAAACTCTATATTATATAAACAGCCACTGTTATTCCGTTTGTAGCAATTGGCATGTCAAACGACGACCAGTACCTCTAACTTACCGTCACTGTTACAGCCTATTAAAGTCCACTGCTGAACATATGCTTCCCCCATAGACTGCCTCATAGGGGGGATATTTGCCATAGTTGGCACGCTTGGCACGCGGGTTGGCAACCGCAGTTTATTAGGAAGACGCTGCTGCCCATCTCCTGATTTGTTTCCCTCTTTCGTCTCTTACGACATCCACGGGATAATCTCTCAATAATGATTCAAAAAAAAAAAATTGAATTCAAAACGATATTAATTTTAATATACATATAGACCTCAATCGCAAAACTTTGACTTAGCTTAGGGGTCACAGAGTCGATCTGTTGATCTGTTAATTACATTACAGGTATTTTAAAGTCGTATAACAGCGTTTCAAATCCACTATTGAGCAAAATAAAAACCGCATCAATTGACGCATTTACGGGTGTTCAACGTCGCAACCATGCTACCATTTTACATTTTTGGTTTCCAAATTCTACGATTTTAATTCACTTTGAATAGTGATTAGTGCAGGTGATTAGTGTAGGTGCTTAGGGATTAGGCGTATACGCGTATAGACAGCGATTGATTAGTGCTTGGCACTTGGTGGTCAACGGCTAAAAAACTGAATTTACTAAACACAGCCGCTAAACAGAATTGGACAGTACTAACACTACAAACTTGAACTAATCACCCGCAATTACTAAACACCTGCACTCGCACTAATCAAAGTGAATACGGGCCTTAACCCCCGACGAAAAAGAAGATTGTTATAAGTTTGACCACTATGTGTGTCCGTCAGTCTGTCTGTGTGTCTGTCTGTGGCACCGTATCTCTAAAGTGATCTGTGAAGATAAAAACGCTAATCGTTATAATTAGCTCGATAAAAGAAATATAAATATGATACTACTGAATCGTGTCGAATTGCTGTTTAACTTCCTACAGTGATTCCACAATGAAACCGTGTAAAAGTTATATTAAGTGAAAAGTAATTTTACTCTTAGGTCATGTTAAGAACATTTTATAATAAACGGTATTGTATTGACATTAACTGTAATGTATTTTTTTTTGAAGGATAAGGGTGACAAACCAGCACCTAAACAACCTGATGGTAAGTGGATGCTGTGACACATAGACATCCACATTTATACTCGATTAAGAATCAAAATAGAGATGCGTTGTCACCCGTGAGGACTAAGATGGAATGCCTCGTTTCCAGTAAAAAGAGTCTCCGGTTCTCTACACTCAACATACGAAACAGCAGGTTACGCTGGTATTCTGTGAGGACGTTGTTTCGACCTCTTGTGGTCCTATTCGGGTCGAGCCGACCTATTCGAGTTACAACCATAATATAGATGCAGGGTGGCTATACCACTTATTTTTTTCCGAGAGTATTCAGATTCGGAGTAACTCTCGTGCTCGAATAGCGATCCTTGTTCGCGCTGCGATTTCCACGTCCGAGTGACCGTATTGACAATAGACCATCTTCATCATATATAGGGGAGATATTTGCCTCAGTTTCTGTGTAGTGGTAGTTGTTTTTATGACGAAGATGCTGCTGCACATTTCTCTGCGGTTTCTCTCTCCTCTTACGACAACCACGGGGTGACTCAACCACGTAAAATTAAGAACACCTTATAAAACTTACAATAATAGGAATAATTACAAATATCAAACATTTCAGTGATAGAACTTTGTTCACAGAAAATTAAATAGTATACTGTATGAAATACAAAAATTTAGGCTCTACGTGTCTAAAAATAAGAATTGTAACATTTGTTTGTTATAAAATTAAACTTTTATCTCATATTTTATGCTGCAGTTGTTTAAAATTATCATATTAAGTAAATGAATCAGTTGCCGTGAAATATTTTTAATTATGT